ATATAGCCACTGCAGATGTATGTCTTAACAACCGGGGTCTGGAATTTAAATGAGTACCTGCACACTGACAAGGCTGTTTCCTCCAGGAATGTTCTGCTGAGTGCCAAGCTTGTGTTGCCCTTATGGGCTGTGAGAAGCTAATCCATGAGACGGAATAAAGCATGGTCTTGTATCTAAACCATACATCCTACAGAATCCAGGACACAGCATTTGCTGAAAGGCAAGGATGACCATGAAGACCTAGTCACCATGTTTCCCAACGACCAGGCGAGAAAAGCTATGTGAAGCCACTGTGTAAACACAAGCCTGCTTTCCAGATACGAGTTTCCAAAGGTCTGGTGAACTCTCTTTTCCATGTGGACTATATTTAGGGTCACTATGGGTAGATTTGTGGACAGGGGGAGCTTCTGACCAACAGGGAGTGCTGTTTAGTGGTTAGGAGGCTCCAGAATCTGGCACATTGCCTGGGTTCAAACCCCGGTGCTGCTGAGTTTTGTTGTTATAATAGGCTAGCTGCTCTGTTTCTCTGGGCCTCAGTTGCCTCATCTATAGAATGGGGGTAATAATGTCTACTTCACATGGTTGTTGTAAGGAATCAATAAAATTATTCTTAGGAAGCGCTTAGAACAAATGTTTGGCATCGAGTAAGCTTTCAGTGAATGTTGACTGTTTTCACTAGTGTTATCAGCAGTAATATTATAGTTACCAATGGGGAAAGGATCTCTGCATGGATGGGTTGCACAAACTCAAGCTATATGGACTTCATATGGAAGGGAATTTAGTTGTTTTAGGGAAACAAATTAGTTTCTCAAGTGTAGCCACCTTGAAAGCTGGGTAGACATGACCTGAGGCTTCATGGTAAAATGGTGAAACTGCCTTCACGCAAAATCCCTCCCAGACAGGCAATTTCATACTCTGTAAACAGAGGTTTTGACTGAAGATCAGAAATACAGAAACCATTTGTCTTTGTCAGTTCAGGCTGCTACAACAGAATACCATATACTGGGTGGTTTAAACAACAAACACTTGTTTCTCACATTTTTGGAAGGTGAGAAGTCCAAGATCAAGGCACTAGCAGATCCAGTATCTGGTGAGGGTCCTCTTCCTAGAGAGAAGACAGATGGCTGTCTTTTCTCTGTGTCCTCAAATGACTCTAGTCTTTTTCTCTTCTTGTAAGGTCACTAATCCCATCATGGGGGCTCTATCCTCATGACCTCATTTAAACCGAATCACCTCCCAAAGGCCCCATCTCCTAATATCATCCTGTTGGGAATTAGGGTTTCAACATAGGAATTTTGGGGGATAGAAACATGCAGTCCATAATACCATTTAACTGACCACATTTACTCCAGCCTTCTAGAAATTAACTCCCCATCAGCTGAGCTCCCTGAATAAGTCTTATGAGTTTTATATGTCTAAGAAATTTGCATGCCTTTTTCCTTAACTTTCAAAGGCTGAGGGGTCATTTTCCAGCATTTTCCCCTGGACCTAGGTGTAGGGCAACCTTATAGCTTACCTGGCCCTGCTCCTCACCTTCAGGGTACCCCTTCCTTCTCCCTGGTAGCCTCAGGCCAGGATGTGGCTCTCCAGCTTCCTTTCCATTGACATTGAAGGTAAATCTTCCATGGATTTTGGATCCACACCTTGTGGCTGCTGTGAGGTTTCTGGGTTTGTTCCGAGAGAACTGAGATTGGTTGTGCCTCAGAGTGCCTCAATTTACAGGTGTAAACCAGGCTACTGGCAAGAGACTTGCCTGCTCTCTGCAGGCAGTTAGCAAAGTTAAGATAAGGGAAGTAGCCAGAGAATTCAAGACAGAACTCTTAGCTGTTTTTGTCGTGCTGTCTCCATGTTTGGTAGTTTTAGATGCAATCACTGTTTAACTGACCAGTCAACATTGTGGCCTCAATTTAGTGCAGCAGTTTCCTGATCATGGCTTCAAACTGTGAATTAAATGAGAACAAGTGATTTTTTTTTTTTGCTTGTTCACATTCTCTATTTTCAAAAAAGGATCTATTTTAAGGTGGCTAATTTATCCATGTAGAGCTCCAAATGAAAATGGCAATGGAAAACTTCACTTTGATACTGGGATATGGCCATCTGTTTGAATGTTTGCCTTTATGAATCAAAGCAAGCAGTTGATTGCAGTTGATTGACTGGACTTTTTTTTTTTTTTTCCAACAACTTGTGGGGCTCTAGAAACACAGCCTAAGGCCTTTGGCAGAGGATGGAGCCTGTGTGTGCACGTGTGTGCATGGGTGTGTGTGTGTGTGTAGTGGTGTGTGAACAAGCACTGGTGAGACAGACAATAAGAAGGCAGAAGTGCTGAGTGTCTGCTCTGTGCCGGATACTTTATTGCATACAGCCCTTGTAACAAACGAAGGGGGCAGATATTATTTGCACTGCATATGAGGAAACTGAGGCCAAGGAAGGTGAGATCGTTCGTTGATGCTCCAGTATCAACTAGGAGGAGGAACTGTGGCTCCAAATCAGCCTGTCTGACTCTAAAGGCTGAGCTCTTTTCACTCTGAGGAGGGAGGTGGCAGAAAGAGAGGAAGACAGCCAGAGGAGGTAGAAATATGGAGAGAAATTATGGAGAGAATGCTGCAGGGACAGGGGCTAAAAAATCCTGGAAATATGCATAATGAAGTCTGAGCCATGGTGCTAACTCTGCCCCTGGCTGTACATCTGATTTGCAGATACTTTAAAGTCTTTAAGTTGACTCTCTCTGCATCCTCATGCCCCGTCCTTCCCATCCTCCCTTTCTCATTTTGCCTGGTGGAGGCCTGACCTGCCATCATGATGCTGGAGTCTGGATCTCTTCCATCTGTAACTGGGATCCCTCGGTGGTGGTGGTGAGGCCAGGACCCTGCTTAGGGGCCACTGCCTGGGCAGGAGGAAACTCCTTCAGCCTCTGTCCTGAGCTGGGTCACCTGTGGAAGGGTACCCAGGGCCCAAAGGTGAAGGAGGGCTGACACAGCTTCTTCACCCAGGGCTGCTCACTCTCAACATCTCAGGCCGGCAGCCACTCAGCACCACCTGCCCATTTCCTGTGCTTCCCCTAGTGAGTGGCAGCTTGGACTCTTGGCCACAGGCAGTTCTCCTGAATTGGTCACCAGGGCTCAGGACGAGTCATCCAGATGCAGCTGTGACAATGTGGCTTTCATCTTCATCACAGTTGACCCCGTGGGAGGAAAGCCCCCTTTCTCCCACTTCAGCCCACATTTCTCTTCCCAGAGCAGCAAACTGTCACCCAGGAGGGGCTGCCGCCTCCCTGGTCTTGGGAACCTCTGCAGAACCTCCTCTCCTGAGCACTCCTGAGTGAAGAGCCAAGCCAGGGTAAGCCTGTGCTTATAAGGCCTCAATTTTAGATTAGATTCCCAAATTTAATTTCCTATTCCTTAATTTAATTCTGCATTTTAGTTTTGTTTTTATTATTTACATGGGTTCCCTTTAATGATTCCAAATTGCTGCTGCCCTCTAGCAGTATTTGTCTTAGGTTAACTTCTTGAAACCAATCAGCATTGGAGTTTATTCTGCACTGGGTTTCGTTATTTTCTGAAACGAAGCACAATTAAATTAGAATAATGAACATGCTCTTTAGAGGATTAATTCATAATAAGCAGGCCATGTGCTACAGCTCACAGAAGAAAGGGCACAAGGATTGAAAGCTGTTTTTTCTGCCTAAATATGAAAAGTACATTCTGCAGTGCAGAACAAATCAGCTAATGACATCCAGAGCGCTGGCCAGCCCCAGAGCGGCACAGAGCTGGCATCTCGAGTTAGCGCAATCCCTACCGATGCTGCTGCCTACCTCTTCTTCTCAAGAAGACTGGCAGCAGGCAATTTGCCTGGCTCCTCTCTCCTCAGCACAGCTGCAAGAAGCCACTGTGGGCCTCCTAAATTCTACCCCCAGCCTTCGCAAGCTTCATCCGCACAATTTCCTACAGCCCGTTCATTCATTCATTCACTCATTCTTTCTTTCATCCAAGGAATGTTTTACTAACTCCTGCTATATACCAGGAACCCATGGGATGTCCCACCCTTGGGACACATCAGTGAAGAAAACATACAAAGACCCCTGCCCTGCCCTATTGGAAGTTATATTTGAGCAGCCAGAGACAGATAATAAATGGTAAAAATAATAAGTAAATTGTGTATTATGTTAGAAGGTGATGAGTGCTAAGCAGTAAGGGGGGTTGAGAGTGGTGTGTGTGTATGTGTGTGTGTGTGCGCGCGCGCACGCCTGTGTGCTTTGCAATTTTAAATAGGATGGGTCATGGTAGGCTCATGGAGAAGGTTTCAACTGAGCAAAGACTTGAAGGAAGTGAGAAAGTGAGTCACTTTCAAGCATGTCACCCAGGTCAAGTGTGTTGCAGAAGAAACAACTATAGCAAAAGCCCTAAGGTAGGACTGTGGCTGGTGAGTTCAGGAAGGATGGGGCCATGGGGCGCTGAATGGAGGGAGGGAGTGGGAGATGAGGGAGGCCCCATCAAGTGGGGCCGTGGCTTTTGCTCTGAGAGAACTGAAAGTCAGGACAGGGTTTTGAGCAGAGGCAGGACATGGTCTGACTTTTACTAAAGGATCTCTGGCTGCTGACTGAGAATAGGCTTTACAGGGTCAGGTAGATGGAAAGATGGAAGATGGGAGACCTGTCAGAAGGCTCACAGCTTAGGCCTCTGAAACTCCAGCCCCAGGTTTTCCCATACCATGTTCTCTGGGCCCCCCACAGTGCTGAGCTCAGGTCTCACAACCAGGCACAGAGGCTTAGAGTCTCCTGCAGTCCCCTTCCTCCCAGAAGGACCAGAATATTGTTTTTTAAACAGCTAGAGTTCACACGCGATGAGAATGTCCAGACCATATTCCTCGATTGGCTCTGGAGACCCCTCTGCAGCCCGTCCCAATCACTCCTACTGACCCATGGACCAGTAGGCTGGATTTTGCAATGGTAGATAATCTGCAGGCAGCAGACAGCTCTGCACTGTCCCTTTGGTTTTCCTCAGGCACCTCTGAGAGGGAGATGCCCTCTCAGCCAAGTACTCAACATGAGAAGGCTTCTGCTGTGCAGCTGTCAGAGAAGCAGGGGACAGATCAAAGCAGGAGAGGACCAACATCTGTGGCAACCAAAGCAAGTGCAAGGTACAAACACATCAAATGAATAAATAAGCAGATGGATGATTGATGGGTGGGGGAATGAATGATTAGTGCATAAATGAATGATTGATGAATAAACAAATGTATGGCCTGGAGCTGTCTCCTGCTCCCTGCTCTTTGGGTGTCTTCTCTCCTGGGAACCAAAGATTAAAGATTCTCCCATGACCTTCACCTCTGAAATTCCCTGCTGGAGTTGGGATTACACCTGCTTCTGAGCCCAGAGGCGGGGAGGCTTTGGTTTAGGATCAGTGGCCCGAGGCTGCAGGGGTGTGCTGGAGGAAGGAGGCTGGAAGCAATTGGAGTTGGGCTGGAAGACACCTGGGCAGCTTGTAGGTTTTGAGGGTGGAGAGCTCCAAGGATCTGGAAGGAGAGAGGGGTGTGTGGGGAAGAGGGGAAACGGAGTGGTTTGGTTTTTCTTTTCTGGTCCCACATTGGACATTCTGCAGATGCTGGGCCTTGGGTTGGTCTCATTCTAGGGCCTATTGAATATTATATATTCAAAACACGTATTTTATATATATAATTGATATACCACACAGATATATAATATATGTAATATTCCAGAAATATAACTTCCCTTAATGCTGGTCCATGCATTCTCAATGCATGTCTCATTGGAACATTTGACTGTATTATCCCAACAGGCAGGAAGACTTTAGTAACTGAAATTATCAGAAGCTTCCTTGAAAGGGGCAGGCTGGCGAAGACTCCAGCTCAGGCTTAAGCACTGGCACCACCCAGACGCTTGATGTGCCCCCACTTCCAGAAGCTTATCTCCCAGTGTGGCCAGATCCTCGTGCCTCTGGTGTAAAAGTCCCCTACTGGGGGAAGGTTTGAGGAAGCAATGTCTAAAGACCCTGGGTCACATGGCTCCACTCCATTTTGGAGGAGCGTCTTACCTGGGATTCCCATAGAATCTAGTTTGGGGCCAAAAGACTGCTCCTAAAGAGTACATGTACACAGTCCACTTTATATTCTAGACTTTGATAATCATAATCAAAATGGCTTCCATTTATTGAGTGCTTACTAAGGGCTCGATGTTGGCTTAAGAGTTTTGGCTGGGCGTGGTGGCTCATGCCTGTAATTCCAGCACTTTGAGAGGCCGAGTTGGGCAAATCACCTGAGGTCAGGAGTTCAAGACCGGCTTGGCCAACATGGTGAAACCCTGTCTCTACTAAAAATACAAAATTAGCCACATGTGGTGGTGGGCACCTGTAATCCCAGCTACTCAAGAGGCTGAGGTGGGAGAATCTCTTGAACCTGGGAGGCGGAGGTTGCAGTGAGCCAAGATCATGCCACTGTACTCCAGCCTGGGTGACAAGGCAAGACAGATAAAAAGAGTTTTGCATTCTGACTGGCACAGTGGCTCATGCCTGTAATTCCAGCACTTTGGGAGGCTGAGGCAGGCAGATCACCTGATGTCAGAAGTTCGAGACCAGCCTGACCAACATAGTGAAACCCTGTCTCCACTAAAAATACAAAAAATAGCTGGGTGTGGTGGCAAGCATCTATTATCCCAGCTACTTGGGAGGCTAAGTCAGGAGAATTGTTTGATCCCGGGAAGTGGAGGTTGCTGTGAGCCGAGATCACTGCACTCCAGCCTGAGCGACGGAGTGAGACTACATCTAAAAAAAAAATTTTTTTTCATTCTTATGTCATTCAATTTTCTTATGAACCCTGGGATGTCCCTCATTTTACATATGAAACTGAGGCACAGAGAGGCTAAGTGACTTGCTGGTAAGTGGTAGAGCCAGAAGGATGATGGCCATTTGGAGTTGAAAACTAAAGGGACTTTTCCTGAAGGCCTACTCTGGCAACTGGGCTGAACTTTCACTCCTCTAGCACAGAGATTCTTAACACTCTGGGGGCTACAGACCCCTTCATGCAAGTGATAAGGGTGTCCAGCCTCTTCCTCAAAAGTGTACATTTTGCATTTTGCACAAGTGCATTTTCCAGGCAATTTTGGGGGTCTACGCAGGCCTCCTGAACTCTGTTTTAGGAATTCACTTTCTGCAGTGACTGTTCTCCTTTCTCATAACCCTGAGGGCACAGGGCAACCCTCAGGGCCCTCAAAATCACCTCAGTAGGGAATGAAATCAGACAGGACAGGTTAATCAATGAAAGCTCACCTCCTGCTCCTTCCATAATTGCGCTCCTGCCTTTTCATCCTAACAGCCAGCACTTAGGTTAATTACATTCCAATAAGGCTCCCAGGTCTGGGGTCTTTGGAGTCTGCCCTGGAACCTGTTGACATGCCATCTGCTTCCAGAGGATTCTGGAGACCAAGACAGCCTTTTAAAATTCTTCTTTGTTTTCTTTGCTATAAGAGAGATAAAGGACCCTGTAACAGATCTCGTCCAAAATCCTACTTTCTTAACCCACCCACATCAGCCCTGAAGCTATGGAGGATTCTTTGGTCCCAGGCTGTCTTTCTGAAATCAAAACAGTGGCACCTATTATTTCAAGTCAATGACCTTTGGAAATACCTGGCTTGGAGTGAGGTGGCCACAAATTGACAGGACTGGCTGGGCAGAACCAGCTCAGTCAGGCCTGGAGAATTAAAAGGCTTAGGAGCTCCATCAGGGGCTGGGTATTGTGCTGCCTCAAACACCAGCTTCAGTCATTTATTCAAAAGATTTATTGGAACCTCCTGAAAGGGTATGTCCTCTGCAAAAAAATCCCACAATGCAAGGAAATATATAATATACATTATAATATATAAGATATAATGTATATCATATATAATATATATTATGATGTACAGTTATATATAATATATAATACACTGTACATTAAAATATGTATTAGGATTATATTATATGTTCCTATATAGAGAAATAATATATATTCCTATTATTATATATATTCAAAATATATATTCCATATATAGAATTGATATATTGCACAGATATATATGTAATATTCCAGAAATATAACTTTCTCTAATGCAGGTCCATGCTTTCTCCAGGCAGAGTGAAGTTCACACAATTAACAGAAAAAGTGCAGGGTTCATGGTGATTTGAGTTTCACTTTTTTCCAAATAGAGATGGCTCCACTGCTTGCCCCCACCAAAGGAATGAGGTATAAAATGGAGAGGTCTGGTGTTTGTTATATGACTTACAGATGCCCCCTCCCCCACCACGGCCCTGGATACTTCTTTCCTGCAAAGAAAAGTTTCCTCTGGGACTCTTCATTCTCTCGGGTTTGAACCCCAAGAAGCCCTCCACATACCCAGCTCCCTTGGCCTGAATCCATGGGCCCAGAGCTGATTTTCTCATCCCTGCTGAGACCCCTGCTCAGAGGAAATGGCTTGTTTGGAGATGGAAGCATTCTTGCTGCATGAGGGAGAAGAGATGGAGTTTGGCCTACAATGCCATGAGTATTCTTGGGTGGTTAATCCCCCCTCCAACATTGTAATCCTGTGGCCGATCTGTGGTTTAGCAGAGTGAGTATCAATTTTCAGAAAAGCAGGCCAGCGTTTGAGTCCTTGCTCTGCCAGTCGTGAGCTGTGTGCCACTGGGAAAGTCACTTCACCTTCTTGCATCACAGTTTTTTCCCTGTGTGTGGAGGGGCACAAGAGGGAGATTTACTTTACGAGATATGGCATGGTGCCTGGCATTCTATACATGATTTTCTTTCTTTTCCTGAATGAAGGCACAAACTTCAGAAGCATTTTGCAGACATCAGAAGGTACTATTAGGTTTTTCTTTATCAGTGCATTTCAGCCTCATCACCTTCCCACGCCATTCCCATCTTCCTTCTCTTAACCTCTCTCCCTACCTATAGCAGTTAGTCTAAACTCCAAATCATAGCTGCAGGCATTTCCCTGCAAATCTCACTAACAGGTTTAGCATCCCTCCTAAGGTTCATAGCGGTCACCAGTGCAGCCTCAGAAATGGAGATGCATGGACAGGTCAATTTCTCCATCCCTGCCTCTTCTGGTGTCACAGCAGGGTCCTAACATCTAAGCCTGTTAGGGCTGCTACACACTTACTATGAAGAAGGAGACCGCAGACTTTTCATGGCTTGGGGTGGGTTATAAATGGGCATCAGCTTCCTGGTGCTGAGCAGGAACCAGTGGGTGGGAGTGTGATACTGACTCCCCTCACTTCATTTGACCATGGCCATTGTGGGAATCACCACCATCATGCTCATCCTCGCAGCCAGCACCCAGCACCTAGTCAGAGCTGTCTGAGCCTCAGGGAGCTAAGCCCTGAGACACAGCAACCAAACCCTAAAAAGGACCCCAGACCCACCTTTTTTGGGTAGATTTTGCCCACTTACAGGTGGAGTGTTTTACATGGAATCTTCAAGGTAGAGGTGGGGGTGGGGCAGGGGGTGGGGGTGGTAAGCGGATACGAAGAGGAGAGAAGGGGTCAGAATAGGCCACAGGAGATTAGGGATTTAATTAAACTGCCTGTTTGGTTAAGGGCTTTTAGGTGCAAAGCTGCTTTGCATGATAATGGCAGTTTAGCTGAATTCCAATCTACTGAAGGAAACTTTTCTTTTTTTTTTTTTTTGCCTACCTCTCCCAGGAAACTTCTTTTATACTTAATTACTGTGGCTCATAAGCCTGGTTTCTCTCTAATGCCCCTCCCCAGGGTAAGCCGGGAAGCTCACCTCTTAGCTTCGGTCATGCTGGCCACCATCCTGGACAGACCCCTTGTCATCTATCCCATCCATGAACCAGGAAATATCTGAGTGGAAGGCCTTTAAGATCACCCAGGAAAGTCAGGTCTTGCTTAAGGGGGTGACCCCTGAAGTCCTTTGATAGGGTTGCCAGCCAGCAGGGGCAACCGAGAATGGCTCTGGGATTAGGCTACTGAAACTTGCCCTGGGGTCTCTGCTTCCAGAAACCCCAAACACCAAACAGGAACAACATTCCCCTGGTAGGTTCAGCAGCACTGGACAAGCACAGGTGTGGTCGTTTAAGTGAGCTTGGTAGGGTCTGGACCAGAAGGAGACTCCCTGGCTGACTTGCCTGGGTGGCCTGAGGGTGGAGGAACTGCATCTTTGGTTGTGGAACTGCATCTTTGAAAGTGACTGCTTTTCAGGCAGAAGGACAGCATTCGGTCCTCGTCGGGACAAAAGGAGTAGATGGAAAGCCTGGTGGGTGGAGCAGAGAGCCCTGATACAGAGAGGGAGAAGCCATGGGAGATGGAGACTCCAGCACACGGGCAGGGTAGGAAAGGGTTAAAGGGTTTGGGAACTCCTGTTTCCCATCACTTGTCAGCCAGCTTTGCTCTCAGCCTTATCAGCAGGGATAGGGCCGCGCCGGGAGAGGCTCTGAGAGCTCTCATTTCCAAGCTCTTCCCAGACTTGGAGCTCTCAGTGTTCTCATTACCTTCTAAGGGCTCCTGGCTCTGTCTGGGGTAAGGGCCATGGGGAGGGGCTGGAAACCCAAACACATTTAATGGAGTAGAGTACAAGTTACTAAATACAGCCCGGGTTGGTGGTGTGGCTGTTGAATCTTCAGAATCCAACTGTCCCTCCTCCTCTCCCCTAGTGCAGGCTGTGTCTTCGCTTTCATTCAACTAAAGCTAAAACTCCTCATTGCTTTTCCTTTTTACAGTTACCCTGAGTCAGAAATCTTCATCATGTATTTGAGCAGTTACTTTTGGAACTGAAGTAAAGGACTTTACATGTCAGGTAAAGATGTCTTGGTAAGACTTGGTAAGATGACCCACGCTAGCCTTTTGGGAGACATACAGTTTTTAGTTTTGCCATCTCGTGGTTGCTACCTACCCAGTTTCAACCATTAGGTAATTTGGTAAACCTGCTTTCTAGATCTTCATTCAAGTTATTGGTTTAAGAGACATTGCCTGGGAGAGGGCTGAGGGCAGAACCATAGGTCATGCCAATATAGACTCTCCTCTAGACCTTGACATCAACCCATGGTCAATATTTTTTGGGTGTGGATACTGTTATTGAACCAGCTAATTCCTTCTGTTGTGCATCTCTAAGTTATAATCCACCAAGGATCCAGAAGGCTGCTATGAGAAAAAGTATTAGGTTGGTGCAAGAGTAATTGCTTACTATCAATGAAAATAATGACAAAAAGCTGCAATTACTTTTGTACCAACCTAATAAAAGTTAAAAGCACCTTTCTATAATCCAATACCCTCGGTCCCATGAATCTCCCTAATTTGCCATTCTTGTGACCCTGCTAAAGAAGAAAGTAAAGTAGACATGGTATTTTGCCGTCAATTAGAGATGCTATGAATGCAATATAAGCATCATAACCACATTTTTGTAAGGAGCAAGAGTTGCCTGCCAAGAACAGTGGTATGCATGACCAGGGAGCTGGCTCTTTAAAAAAAGAATTGACTTAGGAAAGAAATGAGGAACGAATGGGGATTTGAGTTAATCAAGGACAGGGACTGGGATAATAGTTTGTAGGTAAGGTGCTAATTATTTGGGGGGCATAGGGTTCTGTCCTGTGACTGCGAGAGAAGGTCTTGGGCTAGAATGCAGAGTATCCCCTTGTGTAGAAGCCACAAGGCCTCAGTTCTCCCAGGTCTGGAAACTCCAGAGGTTCTGAACACCTCAGGCTGTCTGCTGCCTCCATGCCTCTGCTCATGCTGCCCCATCTGGAATCCCTTTCCTTGCTGTCCACCTGGTGAACATCTGTTTATCCTTCTTTTTCTTTCTTTCTTTTTTTTTGAGACAGAATCTTGTTCTTGCTCTGTCACCCAGGCTGGAGTGCAGTGGCGCGATCTCAGCTCACTACAACCTCTGCCTCCCAGGTTCAAGTGATTCTCCTGCCTCAGCCTCCTGAGTAGCTGGGATTACAGGCCATGTGCCACTATGCCCAGCTAATTTTTGTGTTTTTAGTAGAGATGGGGTTTCACCACGTTGGTCAGACTGGTCTCAAACTCCTGACCTCGTGATCTGCCCACCTCAGCCTCCCAAAGTGCTGGGATCACAGGCATGAGCCACTGCACCTGTCTTCATCCTTCCTTTTCATTGCAAGTCTAATATTCTCTAACAAGTCTTCCCTGCCTCCTCCTCCCCTCCAGTTCCAGACTTCTCAGGTAGAGCTCATTACTCCCACTATGACCTTTGGTTCCCTGAATAGACTTCTGTATTTGCACCAACATCATTTTATTACATGGGGGTTAAGAACACAGAGTTTGATGTTTGGCAGACTTAGCTATTAGCTGTGACTTTGCCTCTTGCTGTAACCTCTCTAAATCTCAGTGTCCTCATCTGTAAAGTTGGGGTAATGATAAATACCCACTACGACTGGGATGAGGAGTCAACAGAAAATGAACACAAAGCACGATATTTCTTTTACTTGTATTCCTTTTTTCTCTCTAGAAAAAAATCTGGGAGCTTCGTTTTTCCATATCATTAATATGCTGCCACCATTTAGTTGAGAGGAAGATACCCGTTTTTTCTTTGGGGCTTGAACTTTCAGCCTCCTAGCAGTGGTCTGCTTCTACTCTAAGCAATCCAGTCCATACTTCTAGGTTTGTGCACCTGGCTCTTTCATGAAGGTGCAGAGTGACCTGGATGGGACCTATGTACCCTGGAGAGCTTGAAGAGCCAGCTTGTTAGTGCCTTGCTCCTAATTGCAGGCCCTGGCCTCAGGTTCCGGGTGAGGTATGCACACTTTGGGCACACCAGGCTGCTTCTCAAACTCTGATTTGGGTCCCATCTCCACACTCTTCCAGCTGTCTTGTCTTCCTCTAGCACTGTCTTTGGGCTTACATCTTCTTTTCACCTACCTTTTATTCTAGGCTTTCAGATTCTGAGACTCTCGGCTCAATGTACTTGTCTATTTTTCATATTTTGCACAAAGAGGTAGTATAGATAATAGGTTGAACAGTGGCACCCCCCAAATATATGTGAAAGTCCTAACCCCCAGAACCCTGTGAATATGACTTTTTGGATATGGAATCTTTGAAAATTAGATGACATCCTTAATTTAGGAGGACCCCTAAATTTAATGACAAGTAGCTTGATAAGAAAAATGAGATATCTGACACACAAAAGGCCATGTGAAGGTGGAGGTAGAGCTTGGAGTTATGCCGCAACAAGCCAGTATACACCCAAAGTCATCAGAAGCTGGAAGAGGCAAGGAAAGAATCCTCCCTAGAGCTTTGAGGAAGCATGGCCCTGGCCATCCCTTAATCTAACTTCTGGCCTCAACACTAATGGAATAAATTATTTTAAGCCACCCAATTTGTGGCAATTTACTTCTAGCAGCCACAGGAAACAAATACAGGTAGTAACTGGCAAAGCATCTATATCTGTTCTTCTACCCAGAACACCTGACCAGGTAGAAGAAGGAACTGTGGTCTTTGAAAGACATGCATGAAAGCCTGACGTGAGGGCTGATGTGGGTTCAATGCAGTCTGAAGACTGATTCCAGGAAACTGAGTTTGGAAACAAGTGAAACCAGGAAGGAGGGAGGGGCATCCAGAATGAGTATGTGTGATGTAGCAAGCTTGTTACCACCGTGGGCAAGGGAGATGCGTTCTTGCGCGGATTCTCCAGGAGCTGTAGCAGTCCCACCACCACCCCAGAATTGTCTATGCAAGGGTCAGAAGAGGGGAATATTTACTTCCTGGCTCCTTTCCCTTGTTGGTCAAGTCACCTCATTGGACATAAACTACTCCTTGCTTGTGCTGCTTTCAGTTTTGCCTGCAAAAGTTGGAAGTGAGAGAAGGCTCTGGGCAGAATGGGAGATGTGTGGTGCCAGTGCTGGAGCTGGTATGAGTGCAGGTGGGCTGAGAGGACCCAGGCAGGCCACCAGAGGTGTGACCTACAGTGCCGAAAGATGTGTCATTAGACTTGGATTGCAGTCTGTAATTTCAGGGAATTGCTCTCAAAACTATCAGCCTGCTTAATTTATAACTGCTCATCTGGCTTCCCAGATCCGATGAAGCTTTGATAGGAATGAATATGAAAGTGTTTCATAAACTATAAAACACTAATGAATACCAACCAGTATTTCCCATTGTATACAATAGGCCCAAACTGCGGGAGCCTGTTTCTTCAAGTCTCAGTCCCCATGCTCCACTTCTCCCTGCCTCATTCCTGGTCAGATCTTGTGACATCTCCGGCCCGTGTCTTACCCAGACTAGCTGCAGATGCAGGCTAAGGGGCAATTAAGCATCTTGGAAGATGCTGCCCAGTGGAGGAACTTGGAAGGGAGAGAATAGTCTCCCTAGATACAGAAGGAACTCGCTCTCCTAAGATTCTTTTCTTCCTACAAAAATTTCCTATAAAAAAACTGCTGCACAGCAAATTACCCTCAAATTTAGTGGCTTAAACCAACAGTAAACACTGTCTCCTGCCTGTGAGTCAGGAATTTGGGAGCAGCTTAGCTGGGTGGTTCTGCCTTGAGGTTTCTCATGAGGATGCAGTCGAGATATTACCTGGGACTACAGTCATCTGAAGGCTTGTCTGTAGCTGGAAGTACTGTTTCTAAGATGGCTCAGTCAGGTGGCTATGGACAGATGGTTTCAATTCCTCCCTGGTTATTGGTGGGTAGCCTCAGTTCCTCTCCATGTGGACCTCCCCACAGGGTAGGGCTTCCTGAGAGTCTTCACCACATGGCATCTGGAGTCCCCTAGAGTGAATGATCCATGAGAGAGCAGGGTGGAAGCTGCACTGTCATTTATGTCCTGGCCTCAGGAGTCATGCACTGTTCATTCCATAGATCCTATTATTTATACCAGCCCTAGACAATGTGGAAGGGGGTTACACAAGCATGTGAATTTCGGGAGATCACTCTGGGCTATCTTAAAGGCTGTCTACCAAAACTACTTAGCTCAATGTTTGTCAAAAGCATATCATATGCAGGATGCAGTGGTATGTGCCTGTAGTCCCAGCCACTCAAGAGGCTGAGGCAGGAGGGTTGCTTGACCTGAGCACTTTGAGGCTATATTGAGCTATGATCATGCCTGTGTATGGCCATTGCTTTCCAGCTTGGGTAACATAGTGAGATGTTGTCTCTAAAAGGAAAAGCATATCATAAGGGCTTAATAAATAGTAGCTGCAATTATTATTAATTCATACATTTGTAGTCCCTGCTAGGAAATAATAAACCCCTTGAGGGCATAGATCATGTCTTAGTCTTGTTTGTACCTCAAATTTCTAGAGTAGTGTCAAGCATACTGATAGGTCCATACCAAATGCTGATAGGGAATATGTGAATGAAGGCTTAGAGAGGGCTAGTCTGGTGGCATGCTCAGAGTGAATGGGGAGAGAATTCACACCCAGATGTTAAATAGGATTCTGTAATTCAGGTGCTTACCTAGAATTACCAAAGTGTGTAGAACCAAGACCCTAGAGTTCCCACACTTGAGTACCAAGGACGTTTGATACCAAGACAATAGGCAGGGCAAGGGTAGCTCTTATGATTCTCTTTTGAAAACAAGCCCTGAGCAGCAATCTGGTAGGGAGAAATGGTTCCGACCCCATGATCTAAAGAGTGACCCCACTGATGTTTAATTTTCTGGGCCAAGGCAGACATGGAAAGTTCTTGATATTTTTGTCATACTCAAATGCCTATCTTGATGACACCTCTGTCCTCCTACTGGACAGAACAATTTCCCTTTCTTTCTAAGAGACGCTGATGCACATTTCTTAGAGTTAACTAAGTGAACAGAGAGTTTCATGTCAGAGGCCCGCCCTGCTACTGCCGCCCTTTATGCAGGAGAGGGTCTGAGTCTGCGAGGTAACCGATGCTCTAGGTGAGATTGAGTTTCCAGACGTCTAGCTCACATTGGAAGCCTTGCCCCTGCCCCTGGGCCTGAAAGTTCACCAATTGTCCTTTTTCTGCAGACAGAGCCCTCTGTCCTTACCAGTGTTGTGCTTTTTTGTCCCAGTTTCCAACAAGAAGCCACTCCCATGAGGCTGCTCCTCCAGGAGCCTCAGAGACAAAGACCAATGGAAGAGCAGGTGTCTTCTCAGAGATTTTCCCATGTAGATCACATTCCCATTTGCCAGAGATTCCATTTTTCCCCAGTTTCTCGAAATCCCAAACAAGTGGCTTTACCTGTCTCTTTCTCCCTTTCTTAAAGCTAAAGTGATTAATTCAATAAAGGGGAAAAATCTTTCCTAACAGGGTAGAAGGAGCTTGCACTGAATAATATTTTGCCCCTGGAAAATAAAATGAAGATTGAGACATGCAAATTGTAGATGGGACAGAACCATAGGAGACAGATGATATTTGAATTGCCTCTAAACCAAACCAGAGCAGGCATGGTAGTCTGCACCTGCAGTCCCAACTACTTGAGAGGCTGTGGTGGGAGGATCGCTTGACCTAAGGATTCTAGGCTGCAGTGATCTATGATTGTGCCACCGTACTGCAGTCTGGGTGACAGAGTGAGACCCCATTTCTAAAAAAGGAAAGGAGAAATAAGCCAAACCAGGTCACCAAAAGGAAATCTGAAAGGAAATTTAAAATGCTTGTTGATTGAAACAAAAAAATACTGTAACTGAGTCTGAAGGAAACAGTGATATATCAGGGATTGTTGTAATTCAAGGAAACTGGACTCTGGAATGACCCTCATCTTGAAAAAGCTTTTAAAATGGTATTTATTTCACTTTCTGTTAGGTTTTAACCAGAAAGAGAACATGTTTAACAGAGGTAGCATTGGGAAATGTGGCCAGTGGAAGAGTTGGGGGCTTATGTGTATGAGGAATTCTTTGGAGTGCAGGACTAAGGCAGTAGAGCTGGACCAATGCAACTCTCTTGGTTTTCAAATTCTGCCTCTACGTAGCTATGGAAAGAATTGTATCATTCCTGGTAGAAAACTCAGCCAAAGTGTTCCCCTGAAGATGAAAACACAGTAAGAATTTTAAGAAACCATTTTTTGGGGGAGTCAAAAGAATGTTAATGAGACAACTGATTAGGTCTTTTAAGAACTTTTATACAAAGAAGTTAAAAATAAAATATTAGGTCCAGTTGAAATATTTTACATGCCCACCCAAAAAACCTACCCCAAAATATAACATTGAGCTTTCAGAGGGGAAGCAGGGAGTGGGACACAGAAAGAAACTAATGAGAGGACAGCATGGAAACCACACTTAGGAAACAGAACTTTTAACCAACGATTATTAGAAAAACAACAGCAATCATTGATTAAACAAATTATGGTCCTAGGAAAAGGGACACAAAACAGTCAGCCTTGGGAAGACTGCAATGTTGGGTAAGCTCAGAGTATTAGGGGTGACAGCTCTCATTTCCTATGCAATTAAGAGCCTCGTTCTTTGGGTCATCTCAGTCAGTTGACAATCACTTTTTTTTTTTTTGAGATAGAGTCTTGCTCTGTCACCCAGGCTGGAGTGCAGCGGCGCTGTCTTGGCTCACTGCAACCTCCACCTCCCAGGTTTAAGCAGTTATCCTGCCTCAGCCTCTCAAGAAGCTGGGACTACAGGCACGTGCCACCACGCCCAGGTAATTTTTTGTATTTTTAGTAGAGATGGGGTTTCACCATGTTAGCCAGGGTGGTCTCATTTCCTGACCTTGTGATCTGCCTGCCTCGGCTTCCCAAAGTTCTGGGATTACAGGCGTGAGCCATTGTGCCCAGCCTGACAATCACTTTTTGAGAACACATTATATGCTAAGCTCTGTGTTAGAGGTTGGGGCTCTAACACCTACATAAAGCATGCTGCCTTACACAAATGCCCAGGGTATGGTGAATGTAATAAGGTATAACAATAGCTAAAATTTATTGAGCACTTGCTATGTTTTAAACATTTTACAAAAACTACAATCCACCATGAGAACAGAACTGTATGGTTTTGGTCACATTTGTAGCTCTATTACTTGGCACATACGTATTCAATAAACATAGTTTAAAAATCCTTCCAACAACTCTATGAGTAGGTTTCATTATTACTCCCATTTTACAGATGAGAAGACTGAGGTCCAAAGAGATTAAGCACTTGTTTGGTGTCATAGTTAGGAAGCCATGGGACAAGGATTTGAACCCAGGAAATCCTGCAAAAGACTCCACAGTGCTGCCCCTTTATAAGTACATGAGTAATCAAAATGCAAGATGAAAGTAGAAAGCACTCCAAGGGAGATTCAAACAAACTGCCTTAGAAGTTCTAATCTCTGGCAAGGAAAAGGGACAGTGAAAAGGGGAGGATCCTTGGAAGAGATGGCATTTGAGTTGGTTCTTAAAATGTGGGTGAGATTTCCTCAAAGGAGTACAAGGGGAAGCATCTTCAAGATGAAGGAATGTCAGGAACCAGCACTCAGAATTGGACAAGTGAAAGATGTATTTGGAGACTTTTATACTTCCAGTTTGCTAGGGAAGTAGCCCTCCTCCATGGCAGCAGCAGGAGATTATCTGGAGTGGGTTGGAAGCGGTAAGGAGCAGGGCTTCTCATGCTGTCACTGCACAAGGATTCACTGTGATTCAGCAGATCCACGGTGTGGCCCCTGGTGATGCCAAGGCAGCTGGCTTTCGACCACACTTGGAGCAGCTGGGTTCTAGAGGTCCTTGCTTTTCTGGCTCAAGGATGTAGATTTTATTTGGTACGTGTAAGACTGCAGAGATGGATTTTAAGCAGGAAAATAAGGCTTTAGAAAGATGAGTTGGTGACAGTGGTATAAGATGCCCTGGAGAAAGTTGGGCTTTGGTTTCTTTAGCTCCTAATTTATAACTCTCAAAGCTCAGAATACCGATTCAGTCAGGGTCCACACAGGAAAACAGAAACCAAAGAGATGATTAACAGATACCATTTAGCCCTTGACTTTGGATTGCCATTTTTTCACCAGAGCTGCCTAGAAAATGTTCTTTCCCCCTCCTTCAAGACCAGCCAGAAGCAAAATATGTCCCTAGTTTCTAGTGGTTAGAAAAAGAGAGAAAATGTTGCCTTGACCTTGAGATATTCTGATGGGTCTGTTCAGGTTCAAACTGGGCCCATCACCATGCTCACTCTAGATTACTTTTTCATGATTGACAGATCTGCTTGGGGAGTGAAAAATGCTGCTAATATCAGCCTGAAAAAAATATCAGGAAATTAAATCTGTGGCTTAAATCCCACACTGCTTTCTGGCTCTGGTCTGTCTCCTAACTGGGATCTCTTCCTTGGCCTGGAGGCCTCCTTCCGGCCTCCTCCCCCTCCTCTGGTTCTCCCACCCTCTCTCTTTGCTCCCACACCTTCCCCTCCTCCCCCTTCTCTTTCTTATCCTATAGAACCTCCGTCCTGCTTTTTTTCTTCTCTCCGGGCTCTTCCCTGGTGGCTTCAAGCTTCTCTTCCTGTCTCTAAGCTTCCAGCTTTTCCCCAGCTCCACGGAAGCATCTGTCTGTTTCTCTTTCACTTCCCTTCAGGGAGTCCTAAATGCTGAATAGGCCCTTCAGACCAGACCCTGAAGGGGACTTGGCTGGGGCAGTGGGGGGTGGGGGGTGCTGGGGACCTGCTGAGGCTATACAGAAGCCTATTGATAAGCAGTCCTTCCACACAGACAACCCTGTCCAGTCTCTGTGGCTCCAGTGGAGAGCGGCGACCCTTGAGGTGGTGGCCAACATCCCGGCCACCATGAATGACCTCAGTGTCTTTGGTGGGCAGGGGGACCTTCTCTCTGTAGCCTCCAAATCCTTCAGACCAATCAATCCCACCATGGGTGTGAATATATTCATCTTGAAAATAATTTGTCAGTACATCTCCATCAGTGGTGCTGATTTCATTAATTGGAAGAATTAGCTCTTTGTGGCCAATGGAAGAATATGGAGCCAAAACACACGGAATACTTTTCCCCAGTGACCCAGAGACCCTTGGACGAACTCCTGGGTGCCATGAAAATGGATCGTTTAGCAGAAAGAATACCATTGGATGTTTATTTAACATCACTCCCCATTCCCCCAAAAAGACCTTCGAAATGCTCTCACATCTGGCTGCTTTTCTTCCTTCACTTTTTTGTGTAGAGCCAGGGCAGGGAGGAAACTTCATCAGTCTGAAAACATCCAGCAGCAAAGTGTAAATTAAATGTGCAGAGAGGCCAGGGGAGGGGGAGCCTTACATCCTGGGGCTGGAGTAAAAGACTGTGTCCTTACCCCGACTCCATACAGGCGAGCTGGTTTTTACCTGGCGTCTCCCATTAGGAGCTGTGTGACCTTGGGCAAGACAATGAACCTTTCTGAGCCTCAGTTTCCTTCTGGTAAAATAGGAAAATAAGCACATATTGGAGGGCAAAAGGGAATAAAGTATGTAGAGTGTATGGCACATGGACACTTGATTGATGGTAGCTACTATTGTGGTTGCCGGGATCAAAACCAGAAGAGAATCCCAACTGTTTCCATGCCTCAGAGACTCACCATTGCTGGCCCCATTCGGGGAGACAGATGGGCAAAAGTAAGTCCTATGGGATGAGACAGATGGACAAAAAAGGGTGATCAAGGGGATCGGATGGAATGACAGGCCAATGGGGAAACAGGCAGATGGAACATCTCATGGGGAAGGCAGATTGATGACAACCCAGAGGATACCCTGAGAGATGGCATCCCATGGGAAGGACAGATGGATGAGGATCCAACAGGGGAGACAGAGAGATGACAGACCAAAGAGGAAGACAGATGGATGTCGATTTCATATGGGGGGTGGGCAACCCTGTGATTGGGAGGAACAGATGGACAGCACGCTGACGATGGAGCCCGGGCTTCCTGTTTAGTCTCTGTTTCTCAGGCCTGGACATCCCTGAATTCATAAGAACCTTGGGGCTCTGTGAGGATGAGAGAGAGAGAAAGAACGAGAGAGAAAGAACTTCACACGGCCTGAGAAGACGTGAAGCACCAGGGTCAGTCTGGCCTCTGTTCCTCCCTCCTCCCACAGCCCCTCCCTGGGTGGCCCCACAGATAAAGGCTCAGCCATAATGATGATGATGAGGAGGAGGGACAAAACTGCTTTTGGAAAGAAAGGGAAAATAAAAACTAGCTAAAAGTTTTATTTATTTAAAATAAAGGCTCAGTTATGCTTGACTGTAAACATGCAGGCCCATCCCTCCCTCCCTGGCTCTTCTGGTGGCAGAGGGCTTGGACCACACAGCGTGCTGGGGGCAGGAGGCAGAGAGAAGGCCAGTGTAGGTGGGGGTGGGGGGGGTGGGGGGAAGGGGTGGGACTAGGGTGCCCCAGGTGTGAGGAGGGGAGAGGGGCTGTGGAAGTCAGTGACCTGCTGAGCACAGCTGGGCTGGGCTGGCCAGACCCTCTGGCCTTGGCTCCCAGTCCTTCAGCATACACCATCAACACTCCATAAGGCCTCAACCCCACCTGCAGCACATGTGGGGATGCCAGGGACACACACACACACACACACACACACACACACACACACGTACGTGTGCAGGCCTTTTTCCCAACTCTGTCTCCATCTCTTTGTCATAGCTAGCACAGTGGGGTCCTGGGGAGGTGGGCACATCTCCAGCTGTGAGTCACATCTTCTGTTTGAACTAGAAATCCTACCTGCCTTTTGTCCTCTTTCTTGCAGGTTCCACCTGAATTCCTTCCATGCTTTTCAGCGACTGAACCGTTTGGGTGGCCTGGAAGATCTTGTGAGCTCCCTAGAGAGAGGAGAGACAGTATGGATGGAATCTGGAGGAGAGACAAGTCTGGGGACCCTGCTTTTCAAGTCTTTTGTGTGAGGGCTGCGTAGGTGGCCTCACTAGCCAGGGAAGAGCTATGGTATGCAGGGTCAGGCGGGAATAAGCAGGAAATGTTTGTGATAAGAGGCTCTGCCTCATTCAAACTCCTCCTGTTTCCAGACCCAGCTGCAGGATAAGGGCCCATGAACTGAGCAGGGAGCCTTGGAGGAGGCTGCTGCCAGAGCCAGCCTTTGGGATTGCAGCAGGAAGAGTAGTAATCAGAGGTCCTTGGGGGCCCTGAAGTCTATGCCTGGGGATAGAAACGACCCTGGGAACTCAGCCAGGGCTGCCTTCCTTTGGGATCAGGAATTTCAATCATACTTCAGAGGGCCAAATCAATCCCTTAAGAAAAATAAAAGAAAACAAACCCAGGCTTTGTTAATCCAAGTTGTTGAGAGGGTGGAGCAGGTGGGAACTACAGCCTTGACCCCCCAGGGGATTTCATGCCCTCGATTGGTCCCAGTTGGAGCCATTCACTAATGTTGACCGGTAGAAATGGAAAATGGAAGGGTGTACTGACAAAGACGGTACTGGAAGCTCAGGAGGAATCCATCCCAAGGGGATCATATGCTGGGGATAAATAAAGTCATCGAACACGTGTCATGTAGGCATTTGCAAAGCTTGGTGCCCCTTAGATTTCCAGTGTCTCCTCTTTGCCCAAGGCCCAGTGACTGCACCATCTGTGGTTGACTTGGCCAGCTCACAAAGGAGCGGGATGTGCTGCACAGGAACACCCCATGAGTGGGAGTGAGGCTGCAGGCTACTGGCTATTGTACCAGTGCTCCTTCTTAAGGATTAGCAGCTTCTATCTATCCCTAGAGGCTACACTGTAAATGCCTGTGTAATGCTAATTTGTGGTTGGCAGGTGATTGATTGGGAAGCAGCAGAACAATGGCAAGAGGAGGCTGAGCTCCCTCCTCCTCCTCCTAGTGTAATGGTATGTGTCTTCTAGCAGAAATGTAGCAACAAGCCCACAGAAAAACTGATTATTCAGAAAGGATGAAGATTTACCCACCGATGCCCAGAATCTGAAAGTTAAGTCTGGAGTGGAGAGATGTGCTGTGAAGCAGAAATCCAGTGAGATTTTTTGATGGGAGTAAGTGACACCCCATCACTTTTACCATATTTTTTTTATTAGAACCAAGTCCTTAGGTCCAGCCCACGCTTAGAGGAAGGGATTACATGGGAGGCAAGAATCACTGAGAGCCATTTCGGAAACTGCCTACACTTAGTAAAACCCCTAAAAAGCTCCCGGCCAAGGGCCTGGCACAGAGCAAGTGCTCAAGGAATTGTTACCTGGACTGATGCCTCATCTAGGAGGTGAGCGAGGTTGTCCCACAGTGGCCTGGGTCTCTGCTGTCCCATCTTGATTCCTGTTGGTACTGCTGGGTTTTCTCCAAAGGTGTTTCCCTCTGACACTGTGCAGTTTGTGACTGGGCTCTCTGGGCGGAGCCGGCAGAGAGCATAGATGCTAACTTACACTCCTGCTGTCTTCCAAGCAGCCTCTTCATGACCATGTGTGGTCTTGCTTTGTGGTCAGTGTACGGATATTTTAATTTCCTGCTCACCTGCTCAGAGGAGGATCTGATTTCTCCTTGCATTTATATTTCTCTCTGGCAGCTTGTGGACAGGTATTTCTGTCTGACCATCTGGTAGCCATTCACCTTTATGGTGGCTTGAGAAAGGAATCAATTTCACTTGTTTCTTTAGTAATATCTGCCTCTTTTGACAGCAAGTTACCTTTATCACCTCTTAAAATTCTTACTATGTTGGACCTTCTGGTACCTTGGGGGCTCTTTCACTCCCCTGACTTTGTACAACTGCATCTCCCTCTTTGGTTTAGCTTCTCATGCCTCTCTTTTTGCACCGTGGTTTAATACATTCCATATATACTTCTAAGTCTGCTGGTACCTCTCCCCACCCGCTGCCTGCTGAGAGTGATGGATTCTTCCTGACTAGATCAAGTCTAAAACAATCAGAAAACAATCAACTGAAAGAGAAAAAGCTGACCTCTGCCCTCATCCTTCCCCTCTGCAGACATCTTGAGGCCTTTTGTCTAATTGTGGTGGGTTATTTGGGGAGGGCAAGAAATGGGAAAGATAGAGCAAATTTCTGGGCAAGAATGAAGTGGGGAGTGAGTGGAGCTTCTTCCTCTTGCTCTGGTTTTGTATCCTGGGTGTTTCCAGGGCCTACTGCCTCCTCCGAGACTCCTAGAAAGTGAGGAGCCATGGACTGGTATCCTAATAACAGGTTGGACCTCAGAGGCATCTGATAAGAAGTGTAAGCTCAGCTCACCGTGCTCTGTTTTTTTTTTTGTTGTTGGAAGAAGTATTGAAAAAAGGAGTGATTATGTACTGGTCTATCTAGCCATAGAATACAAACACTTAGGGTGAGCAGCAGGGAACACCTTTTCTGAAAATGATGCTACATGGAATGGATGATCAATTCCCTGGTTAAAATGATGCCAGACACTGTCTTTCAGAGTCTTAAAACTCCTCCCAATATCCTCCACATGCTAGTTACTAATTGGATAATGAATATGGTCACCATTGTAGGGCCTGTTGCTCCACTGTAGTGGTCAAGAGTGTGCACTTCTGTTCACAACAGCAAAGACATGGAACCAACCCAAATGCCTGCCAACGATAGACTGGATAAAGAAAATGTGGTACGTATACACCATGGAATACTACGCAGCCATAAGAAGGAATGTTGCAGGGACATGCATGAAGCTGGAAGCCATCATCCTCAGCAAACTAACACAGGAACAGAAAACCGAACACAGCATGTTCTCACTCATAAGTGGGAGCTAAACAAGGAGATCACATGGACACAGGGAGGGGAACATCACACACTGAGGCCTGTCTGGTGCAGGGAAGGGAGGGAGAGCATCAGGACAGATAGCTAATGCGTGTAGGGTTAAAACCTAGACGATGGGTTGATGGGTGCAGCAAACCACCATGGCACATGTATACCTATGTAACAAACCTGCACTGTCTGCACACGTATCCCAGAACTTAAAAATGTAAAAAAATTACACTGAAAAAAAGTGTGCAGTCTGGTTAGATAGGCCTTGGTTTAGATCCCAGCTCCTTTACTTAGTAGCTATGTCACCTTAGCTATCCTCTGAAAAATGTCCATTTTCTCATCTGTAAAATGGGTATGTGAGAGTTTCTGTTCTCATAAGATTGTTATAAGAGTTACACAAAGTAATAAATAAGAGATAATAAATGCATATAGAGTCTCGTGCATAGTAAACCCTCAAAATCTATTATGTCTTACTATCTCTGCCCCTAAGACCTTCCAGCAGCTGAAGCCTCAGATTTTGGAGCTTACCATCTCTGCTGCACATTTTACTTGATGGGGACTGTTCCTGTCTTCTCCCTCCCTTGAATGTTGAGCTGCCACAGTAATTGCATCAGTGTACCCTCACCCCAGTCCCCCTCCTAGACATTCTGTCCCTGGAACCTTGGCCCCACTCCCCAAACCCCCTCTCCACACTTTTCTCCAGAGTGTGAGTCAGTCTCCAAGTCCAGTCTGCATATCTCTGTGGAGTGTCCTCTGGGATCTGAGGGACGGTCCGGCTGGGAGGTCTTGCTCCTTATCATGGATGACCTCGTTGTGAACCTTTCTGAGGCAGTGGGGAGAAATGTAAAACATTCAGACAAGTTGTTATTTGTCATCCCTCTCGCCCACCCCTAGAAAGTTAACGGCATTTAACTCCCTCTCTAAAACACAGAGTTTAGTCAAAACCCTTTTTGTCTATAGACACAGAGTGAACAGTTAATTTGGCTCTGGGAGCTGTGCTGAAGAAACCACTCGGGAGGCCAGAGGGGATGTCTGTGGTGGGTCAGATCTCTCGGTGTGAGAGGGGGTTAGACTTGGAGACAGGGAGGAGTCAGTGTGGTCCGAGGCTCCACGGGGATCCAGGGCTGTGTCCGCAGCCGCTCCAGGACAGAAACTTCCTTGGTTTCTGCAGGACACCCTGGCAAAGCATTGCCCCAAGAACAGCGTGTCTTCTTTTTCGTTTGGAAACTGAGCCAGTGGTCTCCCCAGCAGCAGGACTTCCCCACTCCGTCCTCTCTGAGTCCCATCTCAGGAGCTTTTTGGCATGGAGATCAAGGCCTGGGATGGGTAGTTTTTTCAGAGAAGATGAATCATCTGCATATTTTCTTCAAAGGAAATTGGGCTTTCGAAACCCAAATCTCTCATGTGATGTAAATAGTGAAGCTGAAGGCTGGGATGCTAGGGTGTTAGGGAGGTTGGCTGTGCTAGGGAAGCAGGAGTGCTGAGTCAGTGGATGAAGGCAGATTTTGATGAGTGTTGCAAATTACTGGTTTGGCATGGGACATGAAATGGCTTTGTACCAACTCACTGGTGGGGAAAAAAGGGCTGGCACCAGCAGAGACCCTAACTGGCTTAGGCAGAGTGATAGTGTCTGTGAGCTTCTTCTCAGAGACTAGAGAGCTTGTGCGGTATTACAAAGGCTTCCCAAGGAGGGTGGAACTGATAAACTGTTTCCTAAAGCAAGGAGGAGATTCGTTCTTCTGTCTCACTTACCACTGTCCTGCCCGTTGGAGTGGGTAAAGCATATTTCTTAGAGAGGACAACAGAAGTGAGGGGTTGGGGGAGGGAGGTGATCTTGACGAGGGTAGGAGAAATGGAGTGAAGACATTTTTCCTTTCTGATTCTTCCAGAAGAGGACAAAATTGACTGGTTGGTGGATGAATGCTCCCCTTTGTATGGAGGCTGCATGTAGAAGGTGCTGCAAACTCTGCAAGCTGATTAGTTAATGTGGAAGCTGAAACTCACCTTGGGAAACTGACCGTTGGCCATTGTCTTGCTTTTGCCTGCGTTGTTCCCTTGTTTCTCTGTAAGTTTATAACAAAGGATTAAGGCTGAACAGATCTCTGCAGTTATAATTATTCATACCAGAAGATCCTCCTAACCTCTTTGTGATTTGAGCAGCTGGATGAGGTTCCCGATTTCCATAATCTGTACCTGGAGGCTTATACAGGAGAGGATCCTTGGGGTAAACTTGAACCATGATGCCCACAAGTGGGGAGGGTGTGTCAGGGGCCATGGAAAGAACTTCCTGCTGCAGTTGGAGACAGCCTTCCGTGTGGGTGAGGGGGACATAATCCCTTTTACCCTGGCTTTGGTTTGCTTGATTACCTCTTTAGCAGTGCAATTCGTGACTGCAACAGGTGCCACACTTTGTAAAGGCAGAGGCTGAGAGCTGGCCAAGACGCTTTGTCATTCTTGACCTGTGAGGCTGGACCTTTGAAACCATGAAGTCTTATTCCCAATTGTAGTCGCTTGTTCTAGGGATGGGACATAAGATATTTTGTTGATTTCTGACAAAAGTCCATG